GAGAATGAAAGACAATTTAAAGCGCATCATAAAATCGATTACGTGGTCGAAGAATGGTGGTGGCATCGACAGAAGAGATAAGGAGAGGAGATCATATGTAAGCAGGAGATCGAAAGGGTGGTAGAACGAAGAAGACAGCCTGAATTCACTCTTAGATCGAGTCATTTAGACTCGACCAGAGTGGGGGGGACTAGATGATATGGGATATTATATAACCGAGGAATAGACCGATTTGCATCATCGTTCGAGCAACCTCGGAATGGAGAAAGCCGGAATGGTAGAAGGATGATCGACCAAAAGGAAGGAGATCGAGCAGAATAGCAGAACTGGTCGATGATCGACCAAAAGGAAGGAGATCGAGCAGAATAGCAGAACTGGTCGAGGATCGACCAAAAGGGAGGAGATCGAGCACTCAACAGGTGAAGAGCAGTCTAGAGCGTGGCTTGAACGCGTGAGGGCGCGTGGATGGCGTTAGAAAATCCCAACGGCCTGCGCAGAAGAATAATTTCCCTCAGCTCAGAGGGACACGTGGCGAGAATATATTGGTGCAGAGTGATAGTGGCGAAAGCCACCTCTGACAATCTCTGACACACGCACACTATGTGTGTACGGACGAGCAGGACAGCTTACCAAGAGCCGGGCAATTTCTAGGGCAGGTATCTCACCCTATATAGAGAGGAGTGGGTCTTTTCTTGTAGCCTACGTTCCATTCTTTACTTAGGAAAATTGAACAAGCACATACTGACTTAAGCATCGGAGGCTCTTCACCGGAAAACCCCTCCGGTGTCAGAGTTCTGTGCAGGAACGTGGCGTTCTACCAGCGAGGAAGAAGGAGGCAAGCTGATTTCAAGCCGGTCGGAGTGTTTTGCGTTACCAAAGGCAATTTCTCAAAACCAAACTACTACTATCAAACGATAATGTAACATCTCCCACTGCAACAGCCGCCACTTTCGTAGCATTGCCCATGTAGACGGTGATCTCTCCCTCCCTAAGTCGCTTGGTTTCCTGGAACCCCTGCAAAGAATTACAGACATAATCAGTGGCTTACACACCAGGTTCTGGTAGATACAACCGCTAAACATGTTTCTACGACATTAACGAGAGAGTTACCTTTCTTGAGGAGAGGGCAGTCGACCTTCCAGTGTCCTGACTTATTGCACTTGTGGCATCTTCCTTTCGGTTTCTTTGCCACATCCTGAGGGGACTGTTGTGGGTAAACCAGAGCATCTTGTGGCTTCGCCTTTCCTGCAGACTTCTTTCTCTTCCTTCGCTTGTGCGGCCTGGAAGGTCCTGCCTGCTCGGCGACTAGCACATGAGGTGCTTGAGTGAATAAGGCCTCCGCCGGCTGTAGCTCTGCAAGCAGTTATGGAAGAGCCATATGCATCTTGTGCATGTTGTAGTTCAACCGGAACTGATCAAAGCTCATCGGCAGAGATTGGAGCATAATATCAACCTGGGTTTCCCCGTCAATATAACCTCCCATAACCTCAAGCTCATTGAGCTGCGCCATAACCCTGAGGGCGTGCTCCCTCACAGTGTGCCCTCGGCCATGCGCGTACTCATCAGAGCACTCAAAGCCTCTTGCCTAGCAACCATAAACTGATGTCCGAATAGATTCCTGAGATTGAGAAGTATATCTGCTGCAGTGTCCTTAGACTGATGCTGATGTTGAAGAACATTTGACATAGAAGCCAGAATGTAACACTTTGCCATCTCATCAGCCTTCTTCCATCGAGCATACTCCTCTTTCTCCTGCTCAGGAGCATTAGCCGCCGGCACCGCGGGGCAAGCATTAGTGATAGTAAACTTATAACCCTCAGCAGTCAACACTATGTCTAATTTCCTCTTCCAATCAATGTAATTAGGACCAGTAAGCTAATTTTCTTTTAGATAACAGACAACGGATTGAACTACATGATGAATATCCCGAGAATTATGCAAATATTTTTACCGATTAAACACTTTTGAATTCAACTGTCAATATTGATATCCTCAAAACAATATTAACTTAAATTCACCGACATCTATTACACCTCGTGAGAATACATGCTACATGGTTCGCCCTACAAACTCGCATTTTATAAGAGAAGGACTTTTCAAGGGCCCATTAATTTCCATAAGTCAAAACCAAATTCATTACGAACGAAATTAATAGTCGGTCTCCATTTGGCCATGCAATAAATCCAGGGACCCGTGGGGAGTTTATAGATAAATTGCATTCTAAGTGAATCTCATTTCTCGATTCTGAGGTTGTCAAAATTGATTACACGTCCCCCGTGGGGAGGCCCGTGCGCTCTCTTAAGATTTCCTCTAACCGTCTAATTATAGAAATTTGTCCTAGTAATTTCCTACAACCAATTTTAGCAATGTCACCCGTGGGGGGAGCCAATTACCGCAATTAATTGATTTATCGACAAATTAGAAATGGAGGCCTTAGGAATTTTACAATTAACTTTAATTTAATATCCGTTCTCAAACTTAGTCTAATTTAATGAGGATTTTTTAACTATTTATACAATTCCAAATTAATCTATGTTAATGCAATAATTAATTAACATGCATATTAATTCATGCAATTCTAATTAATCTATGTCAATGCAATAATTAATTAACATGTTCAATAATTTATGCAATTCTAAATTAATCCATGCCAGTGCAATAATTAATTACATGCATAATTTATTGACACAATTTTAAATTAATCTTATGCATTACATAATTAATTAACATGCATAATTAATCTTGCAATACTAAATTAATCCCATGCAAGAACATAATTAATTAACATGCATAAATAATAATTTAATGTCATAATAAATTTAATTAAATAAATAAATAAATCCACTATTATGGCCATTAAATATTGAGTCTCTTTAAACAAGGAAACCGTGACAGTTCTTTCCCTGTTCAACTGGAACTCCTTTAAGCAGTAGAATCCTGGTTGATCTTATACTGCTTGGTCATCAAGGAAAAAACCAGCACACCACCAGCCGCCGCTAGCCCTCCGGCCGCCGCCGCCGGTTCGCCGGAAAAACGCGCTGCACCTTTTTTTTAAATTCTTCGAGGCTCGTTGATCTCTTGTGATCTCCCGGTCATCAACACACGATCACAACACGAAAAATATAATTTACAAAATTACATAATTTGATCCTAGATCCAACGAATGGATGTACATGTTTCCTAAACAAATAATTAAATCTATCCGGTCAACCCCCGGGCAATAATTATTACAAACATTCATCCATCAATTCCTTGACATGTCCGAGGCTTTAAAAAAAAATTTAAAACCATACATCACATTCAACAGCATTCATCAAACACATAATCGACCATAATAGTGGATTGATTATTTTCCTGCAAAACTGAGTTATGCAAATATAATCCAATATATGGCTGCGTTTGAACACATCTTGTCAAATAAAGCCGTAAAAATTCCAACTTTGTACAAAACGAATTAACCAAATGCTATGATACCACTTGTTGGGATCTGTGAGGATCTCGTTATGTACAAGTCACGAATTCAATAGCAAACGTAAACCTATGCGCAGCGGATCTAAAGGTTTGACGTGGAGAACTTACGGCTTAAAATTTATGTAGATCTGGTTGACTACGAACGGTTGACCGCAAGTGATTGACCGCAAATCACGTCTTTGGTTGCACGAACAAGATCAGGTCAAAACCGGATCAAACGGGTGCATACAGATGAAGACGAACTTTGCAGCCTGGGATCTTCCGGCGACGCGTGCGGCATCGGACGACGGCGATCTCGGCGGCGATGGAAAGCTCTCGTCGAGACAGTCGTCTGGGTATGCTATGAGTCTCAATCGGACCTCTGGTTAGTTCTGCAAGACAAAATATATTTCGTCTCGGTTTACCTACAGATCTTCTACTGTATTACTCAATACACCCTTCTTCAACTTGTACCAGTGGAGCAACAAGAAGAAGATAAAGCTCGAATGAGATCTAGAGAGAGAGAGAGAGACGTGTGAGGCATGTATCTCGTGTGAATGAGATTTCTGTTCTCTTCTCATGAGCTTAATGATGTATATATAGAGCTACAGTAGGGACCTTTAGGAGATTAGGAAAAAGGGCTCCTTAATTAATTAGACTAATTGTGGGCCAAGCCCACTCTTCCAATTAATTAAATAATATTAATGGGCCACCAACATTATATTATTGCACTCACTTTTCCTAGCCCAAATTATATTTGAGACTCCAATAATAATTACTCGATTTACCTCCCCACGTTTAAGATATAATTTCCATTAATTAATTCGATTACTGACAATCAAGAATTAATTAATTTATTATCATTTCACCGAAGTTAGCGCTCGTTCATCACATTCTTATTATGCCGGAATTTAATCCACCTGCAGGGTTTAGCATAACAATCCTTCATGAACTCACTCCGGGGACATCATCAAACTAACGCATATGGTGACCGTGAATATCCTAACAGCACATCCTATATATAATAATATTACCCAAAACAGTAGGAATATTGATCCAGTGAACTGAACCTCACCCAAGTGAATCAAGGTAATATATATTATATATATCTGCCTGTTTAATATCTTACGGGTTAAGAGAACGCAGTAACTAACCAAGGTCTAGTTGATTTATGACGATCAGTATAAAATGAACTTCTCCTCTCTAGGATCCTGTTCAATACATAAATGTACTAGTGCAACTAATCAGTCAAGACAAACTGTACAGTTGACACTACAACCGTTCTGATGGGGTGTCATGTCGATCTAGGTTTTGAACAACTATTCTTGTTCGCAAGTGACTGATAGGGTGATCCTCGGTTTGCCCGATGACGACCCACCCTATCTAAGTGTAGAACAACAGAACGTAGAACTTGTTTAATCTAACACGATTCTCATTCATAAAGGGCAAATGTGTAGTAACATGCAAAGCCAAGCTTTCAGTATATAACACTAACAAGTTCATCCTGGGAAAGTTGAGCCGCGGGAGGAGCATTACTCTAAGTTCAAGCAATGGAAGTTTCTGATTCGGGAGGTTACTCGATCAGAAATCGAGGAAATGGAGTCGTCGTCTGTAGTAAGTGGTGTTTGACATCACTAGTCATAGGACTGACTCTGTAAAAGGATTGTACTGAATAGCAGAACGATAAATTCCTTCGCCAATTGCGAGAGCTTTCTCGGGTCATTAAGATAGGAGTCTCCCAGTAGTCTCAGACAGGGCCTTAGTGTTCGAGTAGGAACTATGTATTCCGAATGTAAGCTGATCATCAGAGTAGCGCAGTAGAAGCATGGTGAAGAGAAGATTCCCGTTCCGGAGTTGGCCAAGCTGAATGTCGAGATGAAGTTGCAACTATCTCTTCAAACTATTCAACTTTTACCCGAGTGAGTGGCCTAGCATATCATTTGGGCTTTAGCATCGGAGCATTTGAGAATTTCATTCGAAGTTCTTGAGTTAGTTTTTTAGTTTAATTTTAGATTTTCGAGGATGGAAATTGTTTAAGGAGGATAGGTTATAATGCCCCGTTTCTTTCCATTAAATCTTAGTATTTGCATCGGTCGACTAAGTTTAAATCTTGTTGTTTATTCCTTCTTATTTGGTCTAGTTCGATTTAATTGTCCTAAATGTTAAGTGTGTTTTGTGAATTATTTGCTTAAGTAATTATATGATTATTTGCTTTAGAGATTATTTGATTATTTGGCTACGTGATTATTTGATTAATTGCCTATGTAAATTACTTGATTTTGTACCAAAGTGATTATTTGATTATTTTTGTCTTGGTGTATTTTTGTGCTTAATTGGATTGTTTTTCTAAGTGAATTTTTGTGCTTAATGGAACTGTTTTCCTAAGTGTACTTATGTGTTTAATTGAGTGCTTAAATTCCCTAAGTGTATTTATATGCTCAATTGAGTGCCTAAATTCCGTTATGGGCTTATTTTGGCTTAAGTGTATTTGGTGATTCACATGCCTAAGCTTCTAAATTTTCTAAGTGAGCCTATTTTATGCTAAGTATTTATTTGGGCCCAATCCTATCACCTAAAGTTCAGCCCAAGCGCGTAGCTCTTTTATTTTTCTCTCAGACCAGCAGATTTCTCTCCTCCATGCAAATTTCAGCGCCGATCATCTCGTCTCCAACAGATTTCTGATTTCTCGGCCAGCCAGCTCCATCATCTCATCCTTTTTCTCATCAGCAACAAGAATTGGTCATCCCTATCGAAACCCCCAAATCCGGCCCCTCTCACCCGACGTCTTCTCCTTTTCTTAGCTCTAATTCTCCCTTTATTTAAACCATGACAAGACTTCAGCCGCCTAGATGGGAACGAATTTAGAGAACTCCCTCAAACTCTCATAGCTTCACAGCAGAAAACCGGCGACCAAGGAGCATCATTTTCCGGCAAGAGCCCTTGTCTGACGATTGAGCAACGGAACTCGAGCCTCGATTTTCGCGATTAAAGCTCTAATCCGATTGAGCTCCGACCTCCGACCTTCGTCCAGTTTCTCTGACGATAAGAGCACCAGGCCTCGATGACGAGATTCTCGGCGAACAACAGCTGTCACAGAAAGCCGAAGACCACCAAATTTCCGGTGAGTTCAAGGCACGACCGACGAGAGTCTCCCTGAAGCGGTGTCACGAGCGCCACCGGGAGCAGTCGGTTCCAGATGAGAGCAGCAAGCAAGATAGTTAAGTAAGTCGAGAGTGCCGAGACCCTTTTGACCCTGATCAGCAGCACCCCTTCAGCGACAACTCGTGCGTCAGGCAGCAGGGACCCGAATCGGGAACCGTCGAAACTGAGCCCTTTCTTTCTCTGTTTTCACGATTAAGAGGAGTCGAGCCCTCAGACGCACGTGCATTCATTCATTTCAGCCAGTCAGTAAGTATAAAGGTGGGGATTCTATACTATGGTTTATTCTGTATATACATGTGGTAGTATAGTTTTTATATGTATGATTGTGGGCCGTGGGCCAATGTTTAATTGTGAGAATTTATCTAGGGGCTTGAAATAAGAGTCAAGTAGCTGGATAATGATATGTTATAGACCAACGTTCATGAACTTAGGTTAACGGCGTATAATAGCTAATTAGCTGGGTATATTCTAGGGGTTTGAAATAAGAGTCGATTAGCGGGTCTACCTGGGGGCTTGAAGCTGGGGGCATATAATAGCTAATTAGCCAGATAGATTCTGGGGGCTAGAAATAAGAGTCAATTTGTCGGGTCTATCTGGGGGCTTGAAGCCGGGTTGTCATCAGTAAATAAGTGAGATGGTGGACTTTGCATGTCATATGATTATTATTCTATCTGTGTTTATGTTGAATCGATGCATAGTATGAATTTTACTACTGAGCCGAAAGACTGTGCTCACCCCCTTTGTTTTTCAGGTTGATCGAGCTGGCGACAGAAACGAGAAGACGGGCGTGGTCTACTTAAATTATGTTTTTATTTTAGCAAACTCTGTTGTAAATTAATGTCATTTGAACGTTGATTAAATTAAAAATGGGTTTGTTTGAAAAATTTATTCGTGTCTTGAATGATTTGATAGGCGGAAGAGATATCGAGTAATGTCCGTTTAGTTTAAATTGGAAATAACTTTTTTTTTTTAATAAAAAAGGTTTAAATTTATCTAAAAATCTATATTTTCCTTAAATAAATAAACGGGCATTACAAAGATTCTCCCAAAAAATATAAAAAATAGTACCTATTTTTATCATCTTATTCTTCATTCTTCATTCAAGAAATTTGACTCTTATTTGACGAGTTGATCATCTGATATCCGACATCAACATGAAGAAAATGGCCGATGGCAAGGCATCAATATATGCAAGGAAGAATGAAAAGAAAAAATCAAAGAAAAGACCAGGTAGATTCAAACACGCAAAATGCAACAAGAACAAAAGAGAAAGAGAAACTTACATGCCGATAAAAAAAAAGAGAAACTTATACATCGTTGTTGGTGATGAACGGGAGAATAAAAATTCCGATGGAGATGGCGGTGCGGGCGACGGGAACTCTGAACACAGACTGAATTATTGTCGAGTGTGAGAGAGAAGCAAGAGTGTTTATGTGAGAACTTTTCAATAGAAGTGGAAAACTTGTTCAAGATGGCTAAGGTAGCCTTTTATATATGGAAAGAAGTGAAAGAAGAGGAAGATAAACTAGTTTGGACCTTAGGACCAAGACCTGATTACGCCTGAAATCAAGCCCAGTAGGTGAAAAGACAGGCTGAGCACAATTGTTGGATTAAAGTGAAAAGGAACGGACAAGATTAACGGGGCATTAGATGTGGTATGCTGCACAAGGACCCCACGGATTGTGAAGCGCAAGGCGACGGGACGCATGGGATGACATCAACACATGGCGGCGGGACTGGTGCAAACAAGTGTCAATAGGTGCGGGCGCGTGGCAACATGTGCAGACATGTGGCGAGGATTTGAAATTCAAAATTTAAACTAAGGAAAAGCCGGGTAGAAAATGGAGCCAAGATGCAGCAACAACCAAAGAACAAAATGGAGGTAAAAAAATAAGGCCAAAGATAAAGAGCATTCAAATTTACTCTTGGATTGAGTCATCTCGACTGGACCAGAGTGGAGAGGACACGATGATATGGATAACCACACAAGGTCAACTAGACAGGAGAGGCAACCAAACTGACCTGGACCTTCATCAAGTCGAGTGGAGAATGAAGACTTTAGGTCGAAGAGGACACTGATGATGCAGAGGATACCAACAGGTCGAATAGAGGCTCTCAGAGGGCCTGGTGGAAGCTCGACTGGAAGGAGCACGTGGTCGAAGGATCAACCAGATGCGTGGATACCACAGTTTAATTTCGGTGACACTTCACCTTGAGGTCAGAGGGGGTTAGACATACGGTTAGACCGTCTAATAAAGAAGATTAAAGGATAAGAAGAAATATTCTGGAAATTAAACCTCCACGTGAATATGACCACGTGGCCTAACAGAATTGGACAGTTAGGCAGTTTGGGCAGCTATATAGTACGAATGGGCAGTCAGATTAGCTCACGCTCCTGTGGACAGGGCTTCTCACGCGCCCATCTTGGACAACAAAGTATCATCTCCCTATAAAAGGTAGTGAGCATGCCTTAAGCATTATTACAATCTCTATTATACATTATTATACAGAGATTCCTCTGTATTTTATCTTCTACACATACTCTTTTAAGCATTAGAGGCTTTTCACTGGAGAACCCCTCTGGTGTGAAAGGTTCTGCAGGTTCAAGGACGTTCAACCGGCGGACGAGCTAGAGATTGAGTCTTTTCCAGCCTGCCGAATATCATTTGGTACCATAAATTATAATATAAATATTATATACATAAATATAACTTATAATACTCTATGCTAAATGATAAAACAATTATCTAACTTATAATTTAATATAATATTAATACAAATAACTCATAATATTTTATTTATATCTGTACAAATGCACATAGCCGAATACTAGTTGATATAATGTCTTCAGATGATTGATTAATATTATTTAATTATATAGATAATACTGAAGATAATAGAGTTGAGTTAAAATTGAGTTTTGATTGATTTTTTTTTTTCTTTAAATTTATATCCAATCACTATGGTGATCGAATAAAAACCGTTAACTGAATGTTATTTTGTTGATGATATAATAATCCTGTAATCATATTACGGTGATCAAATAAAAACAGTTAACTTGATGGCTTCACAATTAATATTTTTTTTAACGAGCATTTGCTCTATATATATTCNTTTTTATGTGGATGATCAATGAAATAAATATAAGAAAACATCCTCTTGATGTATAATTTTCGAATATACTAAGTTTAAGTGACTGGGTCGTATGTTTCGGAAGCTTATTTCAGGTCCTGCTTCGTATTGATTCATATACATGTTTGGTATACACTATTAGACTCAACAATTACTATAAACTATTTTATTTTTTTTTTCTTAAATTATCATATACTCATATATTTTCTTATTTAATTCATATATTAATTATATATCGATATCTATTCCTTTTATTTCTTAAAAATGTATAGAAATTTATTTTTACATTATTTTTAATATACGATACATCAAAATGAGCATATTTTAATGTTTTTCGACATGACATCCACGTCGCATATATAAAATAAAATATTATTTATCTATCTTTATAAAGATAACTAATATTATTATGAAATAAATTTTAAAAATATGAAATAACAATATAAATTACTTGATAAAAAGAAATAATATCTAATTTATTAATACACCATAAAATAATTATTTTAATATATTTTTTCCATAAATAAATTATATAGAGGACTGAATGTTATTATGTTGTTTAATATAATAAATATTAAAGAATATCATAATTAAAAATAATAAATTAATTTTATATTTCATAAAGTTAAAAAATAATAAATTTTTGTGTAAATTAATATTATAAATTATTTAATATTTTGAATTTAAAATACCTAAAAAATTAATAAACAAGAGACACGGACTTCATAAATATAAAATATTATCACAATATATATATTTTTTTTTAAATATCAAATTAAATTTATGGAGTTATAAATAATATTTGTTTTAGACATATTATTTTAAAAATAGAGTTAAAACAATACCACTGTTAGTGCAGAAATACGAGATCCATTTTGAATTAATTATTATTCGGTTAGTTATTTATTATTGTGGTATATTATTATATATTATTTTAAAATAAAAATATAAATTATTTTTATTTTTTTATTGTACAAACATTAATAAATTTACGTACCTGTAAAATACATAAATCTACTATTTTTTCAAATACTTGAGAAAGTCATGTGATTGCCCGTGAACCAAACATGAGTTTACATTACTACTCTCAATTAAAAAATAAGTTATGACTTATGAGGTCCCATTGTTACGATCTTCTAAAATAATTGTACCAAGTCATGGGAAATTATTGACTTCTTTGGCATTGTTCCTTTTATACTTTATTTTTAGTTTAAAATTAAAGCAAACTCTTGACAGAAAATTCATCATCATTATATTCTCCTTTTCTGGCCTTTTGGTAACGCACGCCCTCACTTGCCTTTTACGCGTTTACAAACATACTTTAAACCTTTTTCCATCATCCTCCATCACCTTTTAGCTTTAAATTCTCACACCCACACATACACTTTCTTGCACTGATCATGATTACGACCCTAACCGGTTCAAGAATTTTACTCCCGATTTGGTATCAAATAATTCAAAACGTTCTATTATCCGTTTGATACACAAAACTTATAATCACAAAGAACGGCAGATCTAGAAAATAAAGTTAGGAGGACTAGAAAAGTTAACAAACTGAATTGTGTTTGTGAGATTCGTGAAAACTCGGTTTAGCTCACTAATATATTTAAACGAGCCAAGTTAAAACAATTACTCGAGCTAGTTTTTTTTAATGAATTGAGTTAGACTGGGCTTATTATATGGGCCGATTTCGAGTTCACATTTTTTTTCATATATTAAGTGGTCTAGCCGAGTTGGCCCATTTATTAAATAAGCACGAGCTTGAATATAAGGTCGAATGATATCTCTAGAGGACTATATAATTTTTAATACCTCTGTTTTTCTAATTTATTTTAATGTATTTTATCCCCTCTATATATAATTTCAGAATGCGCTGAGCCTACGTGGCAAATTCTCATGCTTTGGAATCCTATTTGGCAAAAAATCAT